ATAGATAGATAGATAGATAGATAGATGATAGATAGATAGGTAGATAGGTAGATGATAGATGATAGATAGATAGATAGATAGGTAGATAGGTAATAGATAGATGATAGATAGATAGATAGATAGGTAGATAGGTAGATGATAGATGATAGATAGATAGATAGATAGATAGATAGATAGATAGATTATAGATAGATAGATAGATAGATAGATATTGACATTTTCCAGAGTCTGTTTTTGCAACGTAAATGAAAATGCATGGCTTTAAAACGAAGTCAAAACAGAGAGAAAATTATGTGATTATTTACTCACCCTCAAGTTGTTCTAAACTTGTTTGACTTTTTTTCTTCTGTTGAACACAATAGAAGATATTCTGTGGAAAACTAAACAGCTCCTGGTCCCCATTGACTCCCATAGTATGTTTTTTTCCCATACTATGGAAGTCAATGGGGATCAACAACTGTTTGTTCTCCAACATTCTTCAAAATATCTTATTGTATGTTCAACAGAAGAAAGAAACTCATACAGATTTGGAACAACTTGAGGCTGAGTAAGTGATGACAGATTTGTCATTTTTGGGTGAACTATCCCTTTAATTACAATAAATGAATACTTGTTTTGTTTGTATGTGTTTGTCTAGTTTGTGGCAAAGCTGACGGGAATGGAGCTGCAGGCATACGCTAAAGCAGGTGCAGTAGCGGATGAGGTTTTATCCTCTGTACGCACGGTGGCAGCATTCGGCGGCGAGAAAAAAGAGGTGGAGAGGTAACCATCATCTTCACGCATAATGACTCCCACACTGTACTGTAATCACTACCGACTGTGTGTTATTTTCTCTGAACTGATACCATAATTTAACCCTCAAACTCTTTAAATTAAATATTTTCTGCAGGTATGACCGTAATCTAGTCTCTGCCCAGCGATGGGGCATCAGGAAAGGCCTGATCATGGGGTTTTTCACAGGGTACATGTGGTTTATCATCTTCCTGTGTTATGCACTGGCCTTCTGGTATGGATCCAGCTTAGTGGTGGACACACAAGAGTACAGTCCAGGGACATTACTGCAGGTACACACATAATCTCACATGCAAAAGAACCCACACATCATGGTTGACTTTATTGTCATTCGTTGTTTGGATATCACATGTGCTTTTTTGTTCACAGGTATTTTTTGGCGTGCTCATTGCTGCACTGAGTCTGGGCCAGGCTTCTCCTTGTCTGGAGGCTTTTGCTGCTGGAAGAGGAGCCGCCACCATTATCTTTGAGACAATAGAGCGCGTAAGAACCACAGACAACCACGTCACACAAACCAGTAGCATCTAGTACTGACATCACTAAAAAAAGACTAATATCTGTGTTCTTATTGTTAACAAAAAAAAACTAACTAAAACTAACCTATAAAAGCTTTTCATTAACTTAATGCTGAAATGAAATGAAAAAAAAAATGATATAAGATGAAAAACTAACTGAAATAAAATAGGTTCTAAAATAAGTACTAAAAATTACTAAAACTTAAAATTAATATAAATTAAATATAAATAGAACCCCCCCCCCAAAAAAAAATAAAAATAAAAATGACAAAAGCACATAACAAAATGACAAAAACTTCAACTGAAAGTATAAAAATTAAAGCTAATTCCAAATAATAATAACTACTGTAATCATATTTAAATACTAAAATGAATCTGATTAAATAAAAAAAAAAATTCAAAATTCACAATGAAAATCTTCAGTGAGATCTAATTTAAACTTGTAAATAATCTGTTCTTTTTTAGGATAGTGATGTAAAATGAAAAAGAAATATTAACACATTTATGTTTTTTAAATAATTTTTCATTTCATTTTCAAATTCTGTTTGTAACAAAAATTAATGAAAAAATACAATTGAAAGTAGAAAAATTAAAGCTTATTCAAAATAATAAATACTATAATCATATATAAATAATACTGAAATAAAACTGCTCAAATCTAAAACTGTTTTAAAAAACACACTGAAACTCTTCAATGAGATCTAAGTTAAACGTAAATAATCAGCTTGTAAGAAATATTAACACATTTATGTTTTTTTTTTTTTTTAAGTCTGTTTTTTTATGATAATATTTAAAAAAATAAAATGTAATAAAGACAGTTGCATTAGAACCACCACATTTGACCACATTATGAAAAGATGACATTACACAGATGGCAAATGAGAGTTAAAGTCCTCCTGTGCTAGATTTCAGAATGATAATGCCCAGCAAGCTCAATGCAGGAGCAAATCAAAAGGAAACAGCTGTATTATTGCATTTCTGACATCCATCTTCCACCAGACTCTGTCCGGCACTATCCAGAGTGATGGTTTGACAGGAATGTTGTCTTATTTTCAGAAACCAGAGATCGATTGTCTCTCTGAGGCTGGATATAAGTTAGACAAAGTGAAAGGAGATCTGGAGTTTCATAATATAACTTTTCATTACCCATCTCGACCTGAAGTGAAGGTACAGCTGAAATTTACACCAGTACAGCCACACCATCTGGTCTGCTTTAAACAAACTCTACTCACCTCCTTCTCACAGATCCTCGATCAGCTAAACCTGCAGGTAAAGTCAGGAGAGACGACAGCATTTGTGGGTCCCAGTGGTGCTGGAAAGAGCACAGCAATCCAGCTCATCCAACGATTCTATGACCCCAAAGAAGGGATGGTAAAGAAACATCACCATTACATACTGTAACATTATTGGTGTACATCATTCAGAAATCTTGAAACTTTTCTAACATTTTCTTTGACTCCAGGTTACTCTGGATGGTCATGACATCCGGGGTCTGAACATCCAGTGGCTGCGTTCTCTGATTGGAATTGTGGAGCAGGAGCCGGTTCTGTTTGCGACCAGCATCGCTGAGAACATTCGGTACGGGCGGCCGGGAGTCTCCAACGACGACATCGTCACAGCAGCCAAAGAGGCCAATGCCTACAACTTCATCATGGACTTACCTCAGGCACGAGACCACCTAACACAAAATCACCTACCAGAACATACACTACATACATAGAGGTCATAATTAAGGGACATTTCCATATTGTTTTTCTATTTTAATTTTTTACAATTATTTGACCTTTTTTGTTGTTGTTGTTTCAAATTGAAAGTAAAAAAAAAAAAAAAGAAGTTCCAATACTTTTACTCAGAAAGGATGCATTGAATTGACCAATAGTACAGACAGTAAAGACTTTTATAATATCACAAAAAATGTCAAATAAATGCTGTTCATTTGAACTTTCTATCCTTCAAAGAATCATGAAACAGTATAGCATGGCTTCCACAAAAATATTAAACTGCACAACTGTTTTCAACATTGATAATAATAAGAAATGTTTCTTGAGCAGCAAATTAGAATGAGTTCTGAAGGATCACGTGACACTGAAGCCTGGAGAAAATTCAGCTTTGCATCACAGGAATAAATTGCATTTTAAAATATATTCAAATAGAAAATGGTTCTTTTAAATTGTAGTAATATTTCAAAATATTAGCGTTTTTACTGTATTTTTCATTAAATAATTGCAGCTTTGGGGAGCATAAAAGACTTCTTTTAAAAACATTAAAAAATCTTACAGACCCCAAATAGTAGTGTGCATATAACATATGTGTCTTTTTTATTTATTTTATTTTTAATCTGATCTTTTTATTTTAGAAATTTGATACTTTGGTAGGTGAGGGTGGAGGCCAGATGAGTGGCGGGCAGAAGCAGCGAATCGCAATAGCCCGGGCGCTGGTGAGGAATCCCAGAATCCTCCTCCTGGACATGGCTACATCGGCTCTGGACAATGAGAGTGAAGCTGTTGTACAGGAGGCTTTGGACAAGGTCAGCAACACACACAGTCACACGTGTCCAGGCAGACACGCCACATATGTCAGAATAGTAGACGATTACATCCAAATCACTGAAGACACAACCATCAATCCTCTGTTGAAGGTCCGAATGGGTCGCACCACCATCTCCATCGCTCACCGTTTATCCACGATAAAGAATGCTGATGTGATTGTGGGATTCGAGCATGGCCGCGCCGTGGAACGAGGAAAACATGAGGAGCTGTTGGATAGAAAGGGCGTCTACTTCACCTTGGTGACTCTTCAGAGCCAGGGAGACAAAGCCCTCAACCAAAAAGCCCGACAGGGTGAGTAACACGCACTCTTCCTCACCTACTGTTACCACTCTGGGTAACACTTTATTTCAAGGATCAATTCTCACTACTAACTAGTTGCTTATTTGCATGCATATTACTAGCATGCTGGCGTTAGGGTTAATTAGTTAAAATTTACTAATTATTAATAAGCAGCAAATTAGCAGCTTATTGAGGCAAAACTCTTAATTAATAGTGAATATGTGTTCCCTAATCTAAAGTGTAACCGTACTCTGTATTATGGGATAGTTCACTTAAAAAAAAAGTAAATTCTGTCATCATTTACTCACCCTCACGTTCTTCCAAACTTGTATGAGTTTCTTTCTTCTGTTGAACACAAAAGAAGAAGTGTTTTTTTCCATACTATGGAAGTCAGTGGCTACCATCAACTGTTTGGTTACCAACATTCTTCAAAATATCTTCTTTTGATGACAGATTTTTCTTGTCCCTTTAACATGTCTTGTGTCAATGTTCTCCAATGCATTGAACTCTGTGGAGCAAAGCACCTTGTGGTACTTTGACCCCATCACCAATGACCTTTTGAAAAACAGCCAATTTTAACTTGACAGTTTGTTGTCAGTGTCTCTGTTTGTCTCACAAATCGTTTAGAGTAAAAAGCAGTTAGGTTCTTTAAAAAGTCATTTTAAATACCTCATAATTGCTTTTATTTTAAAAATGCTTTTATTTTTTATAATTTCAAGTTTTCAATTTAGTTTTAGTAATTTTTTTATAAGCTTTTGCCATTTTTATTTATTTTTATTTGAAATATTTCTATTTAGCTGTAATTTATTTTTATTTCCGTCTTGGTTTTAGTAATTTTAGTAATTCAGTGTACATTTTTTTCATTTAACAATCAACAATTTTCACTTCTTTTTTTTATCTATTCTTTATATTTTATTTTCAGATTTTTTTTTAATTAACAAAAATGATTTTTAATAGCTTTAGTTAACAAAAACTTTATATTACAAAATCACCCTTCTGTGATACTATCTGCAAAGCATTTAGTGTGGAGCTAAAGGAGATGATGTAGAAGTAGGCGTTGATCTGATTCTGCAGAGGTGGTCTTTTGTCGCACTATGACGTCACGAGTCGTTTTCTGATCTTGGTTTCAATAAAAGCTGTTTTTGGACTGACGAGTAAGTTTTGAGCTCTGACATGTCAAAACATGAAGGAAAATTTGATTTCTCAATTCATGACCCCTTTAAGCACAAAACACTGTATTAATTTATATATTCACATAAAATAATAAGCAAATAAAGTGATGCAATTCTAATCTTTCTGTCTCTTACTCTTCTCAGAGATGGAGGAAGCTGCAAGCAGTGACCCTGATGCAGAGAGAAAGAGTCTCAACAGGGCAGGAAGCTATCGTGCTAGCTTAAGGTACAAATGGTGATGTAGTGTGATGGTTGGTCACAGAATCACATTACATACCTTGATTTGAAGGAAAAAGTATATGAAAATCAGACAAAAAGACAAAGGTACAAGACTGTATTTAACGGCTTTAGTGAGTGGAAGAATTACAATCCTATGAAGCATTGCGAATGACAATCAAATTAAAAAATGTTGGAGAAATATAGAACTATTCACTTAAAGTTGTTGGCTGTATCTATATAAACAATATATTTTAAGTTTATTGCAAAATATGCATATATATATATATATATATATATATATATATATACAAATATTTAGTATTTTCACAAGGTAGGGACACTGACTGGATTATGTCATTTGCAATGCTTCATGGGAATGTGTGCGGCTAAAGATTTATTTTGACACTTTGCTTGCTGTAACTCTCAGACTGGTGGAATTCTCTGTAGAGCATCATGGGTAATGTAGTTTTTCACTGTTAAAAAACTTCTGCTAATTCTAACATGATTATTTTGAAAATAAGTTGAATTAATGTGAACAGATGGCTTCAACAAAACCATATACAATCAAATAACAACCTCAGAGCTCACAACAGATCTGTCTTTAAAGGTTTAATAGTTATTGCTAAAAATGAATGGAGTTTTTACTTCCAGAACCCGACTGTTGCAATCTTTTCTTTAGAAAATTCCTACTGTTTGGAATTAGAAGTGTTAGCAGTAATTAGCTATTAAATACAGCTATTTAGCCGCATTAGCATTAATAGTGTGATTTTAATGCCTAAAAACATTGCATACGAAGTCAGCTGATGCAATGGTAAGTGCCTAGAAATATGTAAATATCACAGTATATTAGTGTTTGACTCTTTCTACCCCATTCTCTCTCTCTTTCACTGTATCTGCAGGGCTTCTCTTCACCAAAGATCTCGATCGCAGCTGTCAAACGTTGTACCTGAATTGTCTGTGGCCATCACTGGAGAGCTGGGCCCTCGCTCATACTCTGAAACCCACGTTCCTCTGGAAATCCAGGGAAAGGTTAGAGCTCTGACTCCAACACAATGAGCCTGACGCAACATATCACAAACATCTCACGTATTTGCATACTGTATGTCTGTGTAGAGCGGCCTTCCTGATGACGATTCAGAAGAGGTGGAACCAGCTCCAGTGGCTCGTATTCTGAAATACAACGCTCCTGAATGGCCCTACATGCTCTTTGGAAGCTTTGGAGCCGCTGTGAATGGAGGGGTGAACCCCGTCTACGCTCTCCTCTTCAGCCAAATCCTGGCGGTGAGGTTTCCGCCGGCTGTTCTCCTCTAGTCCATGTGTTTGCTGTAAGTGTGACTTTTTTTTTTTATATCTCTCTTTACCTGCAGACCTTCTCGATGCCTGACCCTGTTGAACAACGGAGGGAAATTAATGGAATCTGTCTGTTTTTTGTAGTCGTTGGTTTGGTTTCGTTTTTCACTCAGCTGTTGCAGGTTTGTCTTCATTTTAAGCCTTTTCATGAAAGTTTTGAAAACTATTACAGGTGGACCAACAATTCTATGCTTTTTTTTCTTTACTGTGGAAGCACTACACCTTAAGGGGGCGATAGAGTTACCTTCAAAAGCCTGGGCCAGTATAAACCAGGTGTCGTTCACGATACTGTCTGCTAACAGAATCCTGTCCCTCTACCTCAATGCCTGATCAAAAATATTCATTGATACACTATTCTCACTAATTAAAAGAGCACTTCTTAATGAGTTAGCACTGTTAGCTTGCCAACTGAAGGCTAACTAAAAAACAAAGAAATGGAACTGCAGTAGGGGAATAGGATGCAGTGTTATTTTTGCATTATTTATATACTAGAGAGTGCTGATTCCTATTTGGAATTAGCTTTAATTTTTTGATTTTTAGTTTTTACTTTGTTTTTAGTTTTAGTAATGTATGTGCTCCTGGAATTTTTTATTATATTTTGTTCTATTTAACTTTAATTTATTTTTATTTCAGTCTTAATTTTAGTAAATGTTCTATTTAGAATTTTTGATTTCGGTTAGCTGTAAGGCAACATTTTTAAGTTTTTGTTTTAAAGGGGTCATATGATGCGATTTCAAATTTTCCTTTCTCTTTGGAGTGTTACAAGCTGTTCGTGCATAGTTCTTATAGCTATATTATTTAGGTAGCTATAAATATATAGCTTATTTTGCAAGATTCTCTTCAAACTGTTGCTCTGTCATGGCAGCTGCTGACCAAAAAAAGGCAAAACTGTAGAAGACTTTTTACACTAATATACTCTATAGTAGCGCCCCCTTTTGGCAACACTGGGAATGCAACACATGTTCCTTTTTGAATTGCATTCCAATCAGAATTTGTTGCTAGACGTGTAATGCCGAGTTCACACTGCACGATTTTAGCCCGATTTTTCACTCGCCGACAGGTTTTGTGAAATCGCCGTCCATCGTGCAGTGTGAACACAGTAGCAACTGAATGCTACCCCAGATAGTCATGCAGTGTGAAAACAACGGCGATCCGACGAGTTTGAAAATCATGCAGTGTGAACTCGGCATAAGTTGTAGTTGCATAGCGTCTTGGGTCTACATTTGCGTTTTCAACATCTAGATAGTATTTATTTACAGCTACTTCTTTCGTTCTTTCTTTCAGGGCTATGCATTCTCTAAATCTGGGGAGCTGCTGACTCGTAGACTGAGGTGTCTGGGTTTTCAGGCGATGCTGGGACAGGAGATCGCCTGGTTTGATGACCACCGAAACAGTCCAGGTGCTTTGACCACAAGACTAGCCACTGATGCCTCACAAGTCCAGGGAGTAAGAAAAACATTCAGCAGATCCTTCTAGATGACCTGACACTTTTCAATAAAAATGAAGCTTAATTACACTAAATGACACCCCAGGCCACAGGTTCCCAGATCGGCATGATCGTGAATTCTCTGACCAACATCGGTGTGGCCATTATCATCTCCTTCTACTTCAGCTGGAAGCTCACTCTGGTCATCCTGTGCTTCCTGCCCTTCCTGGCTCTTTCTGGAGGGTTTCAGGCTAAGATGTTAACTGGATTCGCCAAGCAGGACAAAGAGGCCATGGAGGCAGCAGGACAGGTGAGCTCAGGCTAGACTAGAGTATGGTCAAATCTAGGCATTTTGAATGTCTCGCTGTCTGTTTCTGAGTTTAGATATCTGGGGAAGCACTGAATAACATCCGCACCATTGCTGGCCTGGGAAAAGAGCGTAATTTTGTGGAAATGTTCGAGGCACAGCTGGAGGCTCCGTACCAGGCCGCGCTGAAGAAGGCTAATGTTTATGGCGCCTGTTATGGGTTTGCGCAGTGCGTGGTCTTCATGGCAAACTCTGCCTCCTATCGATTCGGTGGATACCTGGTCTATCAAGAGGGGCTACACTTCAGTTTTGTTTTCAGGTGAAATAACAATGAAACAGTGTTTTTTGGTTTACAGTTGGAGTAAACAGATGTCATAATTAGGCAAGGTTCTATCACTACAGGGTGATTTCAGCGATTGTAACCAGTGGCACAGCTCTCGGCCGAGCGTCATCATACACGCCAGACTACGCCAAAGCCAAGATCTCTGCCGCACGATTCTTCCAGCTACTCGACCACATTCCTAAAATCAGCGTCTACAGCGATGAAGGAGACAAATGGGTAAATCTAGTTATCAGTACCAATCATTTTTGTCCCGTATTTCCCAGAAAAAAAAGTCACACTATAGGGTCAAAACTGCATTGCTGACAGAAAGAAAACACAGATAAGTCGCATTTTAATAATTACATTCAGAAGTAAAACAAAGTGTTTAAAAACGTTACAAACACTATAAATGTTTATGTTAGTTTCCCCCAGTAGACAAACATTTAACAAAACAAGAAAAAAAATAAAAAAAATAATATGAAATAAACAAATTAAAGAATGATTTCTGAAGGATCATGTGACTGTAGACTGGAGTAAATTCAGCTTTGCATCACATAAATAAATTACATTTTAAAATATATTAAAATAGAAAATGGTTATTTTAAATTGTAATAATATATAACATTTTTTTAAATTGATTTTTGATCAAATAAATGAAACTTTGGTGAGCATAAGAGATTTATTTTAAAACATAAAAAAACCCCCCGAATTATTCTAAACTATTAAAAGGAAGTGTACATTCCAGAATCATTGTATCTGTTACAGAACATAATTTGTTATATTTAGAATATATAATCATATATATATAGAATATATAAACAAAATATTTTAAACGTTGCATTTTACTACTGCATTGTTTCTTTGTGCAGCAATATAAGAATGTTCTGCATAGGCAGGAAGACACAGTCTGACCGTCATTTAAAATGACAGTAAACTCTCTCTTTCTCTTTCCTTTAGGATCATTTTAAAGGGGACATTGAGTTTATAGACTGCAAGTTCACGTACCCGTCCCGGCCAGATATTCAGGTTCTGAATGGTCTGAGTGTGAGTGTTAGACCGGGACAGACTTTGGCCTTTGTGGGCAGCAGCGGCTGTGGCAAAAGCACCAGCGTTCAACTACTGGAGCGATTCTATGATCCTAACAGTGGACGTGTGGTAAGAAAACTCTTGGGACTTTTCACAGATTTTGAACTGGGTTTTTGCATCAAATTCTTTTTCTGAAACACTGAGTTTGGGATCTAATCAGTGTTCTTTATCGATTAGCTCATTGATGGCCGTGAATCTACTCGGGCCAATGTTGCTTTCCTGCGCTCTAAGATTGGGATCGTCTCTCAGGAGCCAATTTTGTTTGACTGCAGTATAGAAGAGAACATCCGCTACGGAGACAATCAGCGCCATCTCAGCATGGATGATGTCATCGCCGCAGCCAAGAAAGCCCAGCTGCATGACTTTGTCATGTCACTTCCTGAGGTGTTCAATGGGGAATCTTCATATTATAAGAATTTTGAATTAATGCTGCATTCACTTTGTGTCGAACTCTGCTTTAATTCTACTCTAAGCTCTTCACGTCTTCAGATTAAAGTAATTTATTTATAAAGGACATTTAAAAACAACAGAAGTTGATGCAACATTATGTTGGCTTGAGGAAGGCTAGCCTGATAGTTTGAAAAGCTTGAAGTTTGAAGATTTTAAGCTTGAAGCAGTTTTAATTTTGAAGTAATTTTAAGTTTGAAGTTTTAAAGGGAAAGTTCACCCCAAAATTTAAATTGCCATCATTTACTTGCACTCAGTAAGGCTGATGATACATGGGGCAACTTTTTGAGCAATGTTGTCGGGCAACTTTGGTTAATGTTGCTGTCAACAGGCAGCCAGGTGAGACACAGGACCCACGACTGATCTAAAGTATCCATATTGAAATTTCTTACCCATTCTCAATGGGAAAGTGCCCAAGAAACATTGCTCAAAAAAAGTTGCCCCGTGTATCATCAACCTAAGACTTTTGTTTGTCTTCAGAACACAAATGAAGATATTTTTAATGAAATCTGAGAAATTTCTGTCCCTCCATTGACAGTCTATGCAACTATCACTTTGACACCTCAAAACATTCATAAAACTAATCCACATGAATTGAACTGTTCAGTCAAAAATTTCTGAAGAGACATGATTGCTTTATTTGATGAACAGATTTAATTTCGGCTTTTATTCACATATAAACATTTATCAACACACACATCAGTTATGGCAAACGGAAGCTCAAGCATGCTTGCTTGACATGTGAGAACCAATGAGATTTGTTCTTGTGCATCAAGCAAGTATACGGCTGAGCTTAATTAAGTTAATTGTTTTTATGTGTCCCATGATGCAGAAATACGACACTAATGTTGGTTCCCAAGGTTCCCAGCTGTCCCGTGGCCAAAAGCAGCGCATTGCCATAGCCAGAGCGATCATACGAGACCCCAAAATACTTCTGCTGGACGAGGCCACCTCAGCACTGGACACAGAGAGTGAGAAGGTGAGCAGGAAAGCCAGAACTACAGTTTGAGAGGATCTTCCTGTTGTTGAGAACTCATACAGTCGTGTGTTTGTCTGTGTGTGTCAGACTGTACAGGAAGCGCTGGATAAAGCCAGAGAAGGCAGAACATGTATCGTCATCGCTCACCGTCTCTCTACTATCCAGAACTCTGACATCATAGCGGTGATGTCACGGGGTTACGTCATTGAGAAGGGCACGCATGACTATCTCATGAGCCTGAAGGGCGCGTACTACAAACTCGTCACGACCGGAGCGCCGATCAGCTAATCTCACACTCAGCACTTATAGGAACTAGAGAGGATTTCCTACATCCAGATACAATGATAAATCGGCTGATATTTAGCTGATTACCATGCCTTCTTTCCCTGTATAAAACATTAATGTCAAAAGAGAGCGTTTGTTAATCTAATAACTGAATGCTGAAAACAAAAACTTAAACGAATGTATTTATGTACTATCAAATAAAACATTTATCGATTAAACAAAAAAGCAGAGTCTGAGCCTAATGTTGGGATTAATCGCTTTGGAGTCAGAGGAAATGATGTCATGACAACACTGATTGAATGAGGGTGCTACAAGAACATGCACAATCCCAAACCTTTATTAGCGACATGACCTGAGACTTCAAAGGCAGAAGACAGGGAAAAATAAAAGCTTTAAAGTCCATTTTGTGCATTTAAGAGCCCTCCAAAAATATGTCCGTGACAAAACTGACAAAAATGTATAATATAACAATTCAATATTTGCAATTTATACATTGCTTGTAAAAAAAAAATATATATATATATATACAGGTGCATCTTCTCAATAAATTAGAA